GAAGTCCACCAAGAGATGCCTCGCCAAGGTGATCTTGATGCCAACTTCCTAGCCCTCCAGACGGATGTCATAAAAGTTCAGAGTCAGCTTCAGACTCTCCAGGAAGCTGTTCAAATCAACAACGACGCCCTCGCTGTTCTTCACAGACGGGCTGACGATGCTCAAGTTATAGCTGAACAGCAGACTAGTCTTCTTCAGCAAATCCTGGATGCTGTCCGTCAACCAGCTCCAGTGATGGATTCCTCCTTCTCTGTCGATGATCGCGCTCAACTCTCTCAAACGCGTGAGGTAACGACAACTCTAGACAATGCTTTGCAAAGGCTGGAGGCTTCAATGGTTCTCCAGTGTCAGCACTTGGACGAACTCTCTGGCAAAGTCTCTCAAGTCTTGGTCAGAGAGGGGGAGATGAGGTCCAACGCTGGTGAATCATCCGATGCAGTTCCTACGCCTTCTCAGGCTGTTGGTCCAGTATCAGCTTCTAATGCAGCTAATACTGAAGCTCCTAGAGCTGAGATTATTTGTGCTGCTCCTGTAATCCCTACCACCGAAGCTGCTCAAGTTGAGGTTGTAGATGCCATCCCTAGGGATGAAGTCCAGCCCATCACTGCTGCTGGTGATGATGATGATGCTGATGATATGGATGATGAAGATGATGATGAAGACGATGATGAACCTGTCATTCCAGACACCGGAAAGGATCTWGATGGTGACGACGACGATGATGATGAAGATGATTTTTCCATCAAGTTCTTGAACCCATCAACAACCTCCAAAGGTGTTGCCCTCAGGGAGTCTCAATCCCACGGGGAGCAAAGGCAAGGCAAATCGGCTCCGACATCAAGGCACCAGGACCCCAAGTCGAAAGGCAAGGCAGTTGCTGAAGAAGGAAATTTGAAGGTTCTGTTCGCAAGACCTCAAGAATCCTTATTTGAAGACTCTACCTCTCAGGTAATGATCACTTCACTCAGCCAACTTCATATTCCATCATCAACCTGCGGTCGATTGGAGTCGGTTCCTGATCAACCAACCTCTTCTACTCCAACGGACCAGCAGATAGCTCAGCTTAAGGAGTCGCTCGACMAGACTAGAGTAAAAATTCCTCTTCGTACCTCTAGTGGTGGTGAGTTTGACTTCCTTTCCAAAGCTGAAAGACTCGAGGCATTAAGGGCTGAACAAGAGCTAGAACTTCAAAAGAAGCAGACTGAAAAAAGCCTAAGGCTTGCTAAGTCACTAGCTGATAAAGTCCTTCCCAAGAAATCCAAGAAAAAGGTGAACGCTATCTGTGCCCAGGCCAAACTTCTTCAGGTTGCAGAAGCTGAACATAAAAAGAAGCAAAAGGTCGAAGACAAGGAAAAGCGTTGGAGCGAAGATAAATTGAAAAAGAGACTCAGTCCCCGCCCAATTAT